AGAGATTTGGGAATTTCTGTAGAACAAGAAGCCTGCTCGGTGGATCACTTCCTCTACACACACACACATACACACACATCCCTACACCCACACCCACACACTCTCTCTCTCTCTGTCTCTCTTTCTCCTGTATCTTAGACTGGAACCTTAGTTCTAAGAACAAACTCTAACCTTAGTTGGAAGAGGGTAAGAATCACAGCTTAGACTTGTCTGAAGGCTTTTATTTTGGTTTCCCACAAAGCAGTTAATAAGCAGTGTAAAGGATATATATTAGGTAAGGACACAGGTACGTGTATTCAGTTGCCTGCTCCCTCTACATATCACAACATTTTTGGTGGTGTCAACAGTTCTAGTAACTGAAATGTCAGAAAAGTGTGGTGCTGTGGGCTTCCTTACCACCCTTTTTAAAAACCTCAGATACATCAGCACCTGGAAGTAACTTATTTTAGATGAAATTTGTTTCTAAGGAAGCCACACCACTCAGTTTAATGTCTGGGTTCTGGGCCTTGAAACTCTGGCTGTGCCAGCTCTGCGGCAATCTTGCTTTACCATTTTTCATTTATGCTTATGCAGGGTCTTCTCATGGGAAGACCTGGCAGGCCTACAACATGTGAAGCAAGGCAAGAAACCCAAGGGAAGTAAGCTTTCTTTGCCTTCATTCTTGGTTCTAGTACAAAGGCTCATGTTCATGGAACACAGGTAGAATGAGCATGCCATTAACATTCCTCTGCAGTCCAGTAACTTCTGTATTTCATATTTTCAGAGAGAGGGTATTGCTCTGTTACCCGTAAGTCTGAAGTAGAGTGTGGCGATCTTGGCTCACTGCTGCCTCAACCTCCTGCACTCAAATGATCCTCCCAGCTCAGCTTCCCAAGGAGCTAAGACTACAGGGACTTAACACTATGACTGTCGTCTTTTTTTTTTTTTTTTTTTTTTGAGACAGAGTCTTGCTCTGTCACCCAGGCTGGAGTGTAGCGGCACAATCTCAGCTCACTGCAACCTCCACCTCCTGGACTCAAGCAATCCTTGTGCCTCAGCCTCCCCGGTAGCTGAAATTGCAGGCATATGCCACCATGCCTGGCTCATTTTTCGTATTGTAGTAGAGACGGGGTTTCACTATGTTGCCCAGGCGGGTCTCGAACTCCTGAGCTCAGGCAATCCACTTGCCTTGGCCTCACAGTGTTAGGCTTACAGGTGTGAGCCACTGCACCCAGTGGATTTTTTTCATTTTACTAGAGACAAGGTCTCACTATGTTGCCCAGCCTGGTCTTGAACTCTTGGACTCAAGTGATCCTCCTGCCTTCACCTCCCAAAGTGTTGAGATAACAGGTGTGAGCCACTGTGCCTGGCCGCTTCTGTACTTTTTTAAAGGCAAAACAAGTTCAAGAGATGTTTTCAACCCAATAGTCTCAACTAGCTAATTCTCCTGATTTCATTTTCTATGAAAATCTGTACAAATACACCATATGTAGCCAATGGTGGCAAGGGGTGTTATCTTCAGGGAATCTTATCAGGAAAAGCTTAGATAAAAATCTCAAGATTTACCACACTCATGACATTTTTACTTAGGGTGGCCTTGAGATGCATCATTAGAGGTAAGTATTTCATATCTATATGCACAGCACAGCAACATTAAGACTTTAGGGGCTGCTTATAATACCCATATTCCATGTGGAGTGGAGATTTTGGCTGTGTCCATAAACATGGAAAGATACATATAACTAGACAAACTAGTAAATCTCTGAAACAGTCTTTACATCTGGAGAGATAGAAGAACTTTTTTTTAGCCAGCTGTCAAATGGCACTGGTATCTTCAGTGGGTTTTAATAAATCCTGAAACTTAATATGGCTTTCTGATTTCAAATTTGTTGCTTCCATTTCTTAATGTTCTTCTGTGAACTTTGAGGAGGGTCATAAGATCACAGTAACCCATTTTTAATCTCTTGAAAAGATATACTTTGTCAGATTCTTCATCTCAATATGCCTGTCTTTCAGCTTAGATGGTAGGTATAAATAGAGGCAAAAGAGCAATTAAGGCTACCAATGAGGGACAATTATTTCAGTACCTTTGAAGTCAGGTATCTCATATAAACTTGTGTTTCAGGTGAATAAAAGTGATGAGAAATCCTCTCCTGATTCTGATATGCTTAGGTCCTGGAGCAAAAATTTGAATCTAATTTTGTCCATGCTAGACTAAGAATATCGGTTCAAGGTAATATAGAAGTCAGTGGTTTCAGTGTTTTACTCCTATATGAATATGAAAAATACTGCAGTTTAAAATAATCTGGCACATTGTTAGGCAACATTATTAATTCCTTACTACTTAGAAAAACTAGCTATTTTCCTTAAACTTTAGCATAAAATATATTTTATTTTTCACAAAACTGAATGTCCTTACTTTTAATTAACACAAAACCAGGACATTTTAGTATTTTGCTGTTAATCATTTAATCAACAGCATAAACATTGCTTCAGTTTCTCACAGTCTCTTGATTTCAATATATATCTACATCTGTCTGTCTATATTTATGTTAACTATTAGGTTATTTTTATAACTTTGGTTTGGTAAGGTCCTGACCACCTAATAGTGACAGGAGGTAGAAGTAGGGATAGGTCCTTCTAAATATGTTTAATTCTTGTTCACTTTTGCTAATGAGTCTGAAAACAATTCATTTTGACCACAAGTTTGGAAATGTCAATAACAATGGAAATTTCTGATCATATCTTAAACTACATAAAAATTACCAGCGACAAAGAAAAAAGGCTTATATTACATTTAATAGTGTTAATTTTGAAGACAATAGTGTTAATTTCAAACTTCCATAAAGGATAACCCTACTGTTGAGGTGTTTGATGCAGAAACCAGTACAAATTTCGACTGTTAGGAAATCAAATGTTCTGAACATTATTTTCGTTAGAAAAGGGAAGATAATTTTATAGTTGTTTGAGGTGTTGTAATACCTCTACTGATAGGCCCAGCTGTTTAACTAAACCGGCTGTCTGTTCCAAAATCCACGTGGGGCTTGGGTTTTCTGAATGTGCATGCTCCTGTGTTCTACAACATTCTAAATATGAACAATCTACCCCACTATGGCTCTTGCTACAGTTTTTGTTAAACTCAGCATTATTTTCACAGAGTCTTTCATCTTTAGCTTCATCAATCTTTTTCTCAGCTGGAACTACATGACAAATGTCCATATCCTCAATGGGGTCCAATAAATCTACAACATGGGATGGTGGAGTGATTGATTTCAGATGTTTGAGCACATACTCTTCACACTGGCCAACTGCATCCAGAAGATTGTTTATTTTATTGATCAAAGTTGAATTATTATTATGAAGGTGACACCAGGAGAGCAAAGCACTAAACAAAAATATAAACAAGGGTTAAATAGCAAAATAGGACTTAAAAATATAAGACTGTTTATCAATTGGACTTAATCATAAAACTGTTTATAATTCATAACCCCTCTTTCACAACTCTATATACACTTTTCCTGATTTTATACTTTTCTCTTATGACTATGTAATATCTGTTGAAGATGAATACAACTCCAAGAAAGAAAAACTAGTTTCTTCTTTAAGGACATTAAACAGCTTCTAAACTAGCAATTCTCAATCATGGATGCACATTAGAAACACGTGAAGAGCTCTGCAGCCTATCAGGGCCCAGATTATACTCCAGACCAATTAAATCAGAATCTCTGGGGGTATCTTGTTTTTAAAGTTTCAGAGTTTATTTCAAGGTGCAACCAAAGTTGAAAACCATTGTTCTAAGCATATAGTTGCTTGCCATCAAGAATGAAGGTTAGAGAAAAAAAGTTTTAAAGAGACTTCACTTTCCTGGGCTTATGTCACAGAGTAGACATTGTTTGCTGAACTACTAAGAATTTCTTTGAAAAAGATAAAAATTCTTTCAGTCCTAACAGATTTAATATCAGCCATGTCATAAAATAATGGTTATGAGAAGTATTTAAAAATAGAATCCACTGATAGAAAAGATTCAGCAAGAGCTTTCTAAGGTTATATAACATTAACTTGATGATGTGAATATTCACATTGACTATTTTCCTACTGTAGCAGACTAAATTCTGGTTCCTAATGTTGGATTTTCTAAAACGCCAAACACAATAAATTTTTCGGTTTTGTTTTGTTAACTTTTATCATCGACTCTTCTTTAAAATAAGTGCTTCTTTGAAGCATTTTTTTTTTTTCTCTACCAAGGGCAGTTTAAAGGGTATAAAACAGGGATGTCCAATCTTTTGGTTTCCCTGGGCCTCACTGGAAGAACTGTCTTGTGCCACAGATAACATACACTAACACTAATGATAGCTAATGATTCAAAAAGAAAAAGAAAAAGAAAATAATCATGAAAAAAATCTCATAATGCTCATAATGTTTTAAGAAACTTTATGAATTTGTGTTGGGCCGTATTCAAAGCTGTCCTGGGCCACATGTGATATGCCGGCCACTGGTTGGACAAGCTTGGTGTAAAGCAACAAAGAGGACAAGGCTGCTAGGCTCCTGGCTCTGTGTATCATTTGACCACTTGGCTCTGATATATGCCATTATTGCAATGGTATCCTGACAAGTATTCAATGTTCAAGACTAAAGTAAATGAAATCAATTTTCTCTTAATTACCAACTATTTTCATCATGTACTTCTAGTCTAGAGGTCTGTCATATTGTGTGGAAGTATTAAAAGTTTTATTCAAAATCTGAAGACCTTTTAATGAGACAGATAATTGTTCAGGTAGCAGAAGTATATATCTTCTTACCATTTCTTTGCACGAAAAGACAATATGTACTTCACATATTAAAGTGGATGAGCTGATAACGATTTTGACTTTTTGAAGGCAATATAATTCTATGTTCTGTGACACACTTTAGCATATTTAGCACAAGGAAAAGCACTTCAGTTTAAACACTTTATTTTTACAGAAATATCCTCCGGTAGTATTGAGGTTAAAATGATCCAGCATTTAGACTTTAAAAATTACCTTAATGTTCCTCGGAGTCGTCCATAGTTTAAAATGACTTCTGCGCCTTCCTTATAACCTTGATTGAAGCCCTGTTGAAGAGTAACTGCTTTTCCAGCATCTATTCCATCTCTATAACCTTCCTAAAAATAAGTAATGGAGAACTGCAGCTGTAACTAACACCGAGTATACCACATGTAGGCTTTTCTAGAAAAGTACAGAACCAATTTAGAAAGCTGATGAGTTAGGCCTTTACTGTGTTACTGACCATAATATGGCATAACAATATAACTAAAGCAGACTATGCTTCTCATAAGTTTATTATTGGTTTATCATTACTTATCCACTTTTGAAGTCTAGAGTTACTGGGCAATTTTCAAAACACTGATAATCACAGTTTTTAAAAAACTTAGTACTGGGCCTCCACTTTTGCTGTGAGGTGGGCAAGTGGCAGACATGGCACCTTCCAGGAGTCTTGTAGTTCCCCTGGCAGTCCTGGTACTGTTGCTTTGGGGTGCTTCCTGGACCCACAGGCAGCAGAGCAACATACGTATCATCATGGACGAGAACTGGACAGAGCTGCTGGAAGGAGACTGGATGATAGAATTTTATGTCCCGTGGTGCCCTGCTTGTCAAAACCTTCAACCGGAATGCGAAAGTTTTGCTGAATGGGGAGAATATCTGAGGTTAATGTTGTGAAAGTAGATGTCACAGAGCAGTCAGGATTGACTGAACAGTTTATAATAACTGCTCTTCCTACTATTTATGATTGTAAAGATAGTGAATTTAGGCACTTTCAGGGTCCAAGGACTAAGAAGGACTTCATAAACTTTATAAGTGATAAACAGTGGAAGAGTATTGAACCCATTTCATCATGGTTTGTTCCAGGTTCTGTTCAGATGAGTAGTATGTCAGCACTCTTTCAGCTATCTATGTGGATCAGGACTTGCCATAACTACTTTATTGAAGACCTTGGATTGCCAGTGTGGGGATCATATACTGTTTTTCCTTTAGCAACTCTGCATTCTGGACTGTTACTAGAACTCTGTATGATATTTGTGGCAGACTGCCTTTGTCCTTCAAAAAGGCACAGACCACAGCTATACCCTTCAAAAAAATTATCAGAATCTGCTCAACCTTTGAAAAAACTGGAGGAAGAACAAGAGGCGGATGAAGAAGATGTTTCAGAAGAAGCCAAAAGTAAAGAAGGAACAAAGACTTTCACAGAATGCCATAAGACAATGCTCTCTGGGTCCATCACTGGCCACAGATAAATCCTAGTTAAATTGTATAGTTATCTTAGTATCATGATTTTGATAAAAACAGAAGACTAATTATTCCTTTTGGTTTGAACTGTGACTTGCTTGTATATTACAGGGTTCAGTCTAGATTGTCATTAAATTGAAGACTCTACATTCAGAACATAAAAGCACTAGGTATGTAAGTTTGAATTATGATTTAAGCACAGTATGGGGTTTAAATAGTTCTCTAATTTTTGAAAAATCATGCCAAACAATAAGATTTATGTATATTTGTTTAATACAAAACCTGTTTCAAGTCTGAGTTTTGAAAATTTACATTTCCCAAGTATTGCATTATTGGGGTGTTTAAGATTATTTTAGAGAAAAATATTTCTCATTTGATGTAATTTTTCTCAGTTTCATGTATGTGAAAAAAGGAAGATATTTCCCATAAACGGGAATTTTGCCCACTGTCTCAAGAAATATATATTTCAGTGACAATTCAGTGGTCTTTTTAGAGATATATTCCAAAATTTCCTCATATTTTTAGGTTATGTAACTAATAAAAACTATCTTACATTAATTAGTTACAGTTTTCTACACATGGTGATATAGGATAAGCTAATGATTTAGGAAGTTTTTAAGTCCATGGTATTCTCTTGATTCCAATAAATGATTTTCTCTTGTATTTTTCTTATTTACTATGGGCTACATTTTTTATTTTTCAAATTGGATAATTTCCTGGAAGTGTTTTTTATGTTTTAGTAAACAGTATTTTTTGTTGTTGTTTCAAACTGAAGTTTAGTGAGAGATCCATCAAATTGAACTGTCTGTTGAAAATTTAAAATTTTGGGCATTCATTTCAGATTTTAAATCATTCTTGCTGAACTTCTATTTGAATTTTTTTTTTTTTAAATTTTTCTTTTTGGATGTGAAGGTGAACATTCCTGATTTTTGTCTGATGTAGAAAAGCCCTGGTAGTTTACATTTTGAAAATTCACAGAAGCTTAATATAAAACAAAGTTTGCATTCTACTCAGGAAAAAAATCTTCTTGTATATGTTTTAAATGTATCTTTGGCCTCATACAGAAAGTTCTTACTTAATTTTACAGTCTGTAATGCTTGATGTTTTAAAATCATAACTATATATATATATATATATTTACTATTATTATTTTCTGAGATGGAGTCTCGCTCTGTCACCCAGGCTGGAGTGCAGTGGCTTAATCTTAGCTCACTGCAACCTCCGCCTCCTGGGTTCAAGTGATTATTCTGCCTCAGCCTCCCAAGTAGCTGGGACTACAGGCGCATGCCACCACAGCCAGCTAATTTTTGTATTTTTAGTAGAGACGGGGTTTCACCATACATTTTTATATTTTTTAAGAGACAAACTTCATATTTTCCTGTTCTTTCCTGACTGCTAATATTGTGTGGTATCTCACAGGTAGAAATCAACAGGATGGGACATTTAGTGTATTTTTACTCCTTAAAGAACTAGAATACATAGTTTTGACCTTACAAGGAGGAGGAAAACCATAAATACAATGAATCAACTGACCATTATGTAGTAGACAATTTCTGTAATGTCTCTTTCTTTCTAGGCTCTGTTGGTAGGTGAATCAATTGGATTTATAGTAGAATAATGTACAAGTTTTCTTTAAAGGCCTCTCCTTTAGAATATAAAATATTATATCATTGAAGAGTTTGGATGTGTAACTTGTGATGCCTTAGAAAAATATCCTAAGCACGAAATAAACTTTTCTAACCACTTCAAAAGATCAAAAAACCCAAAACAAAGCCCAGGGTTAGCAATGTATTCACAAAAAGGATACATGGAAAATTACACATCTGGGCTCTCGCCAACTGATTGGAATGGTGTGGGTGGGTGAGGAGACACAGCAAAGCAGAGAGGAAATTGTTTTAAAAAAAGGATGATGAGAAGTCTGGTTTCAGAAATTTTGCATAATACCTAAATTCAACTAACCTGCAAAGGCTGTGTGGGTAGTGATTTCGTTCTGCATCTCTCACGGTGCCACAGCATTCAAGATGCTCAATACTTACTAGCATAGCCCCAGTCTCACATAAAGCATTGCTGTAATTGACAATATGGTTTTTGGGCTAAGCAAATACCACTTTACTGAAATATTAAACAAGGTAGATTCCCAACTGCAGCTTTAGCGGCAACTTAATGGTTGGCAAATATATTAAGTTGATGTGGACCTCACTACTTGGTCCTTACCCAGAACTAGGTTCTGAAGGCTGCACACAGAAATTAAGCTCAGTTTCAATGAATAGTGAGACAAATTAGAGATGAAAAACTTACATCTAACAAATAAAAAAGAAACCAACTTTAATATTCCCTTACCTAGATACCAGTATTCCACATTAGTTTTCCCTTATTGCCCTCTGACAGCATGCTTAAGTTCATCTTTTCAATATGTCTTGATAAACACCACTCCTTAACTTTAGGCTCCCCACCCATTGAAGCAACCCATTTAAACTGCGTACACGTCCTTTGACAGCCATAATTAGTACAGTTAGTGTATGTTTCTCCCCAGCTCCTTTCCCTGCGATCCTCAACAAATTGCAAACTGTTCTAAAGTCTAGACATAGTTAATTTTGGTCGGTCCTCAGCTTCTAACGCACCCCCTAGGCACTCAAAGAATGCGTCTTGTTGTTTTACACGCTTTCAAGTAACCATTGAGAAATCCTAGCAAGACGCGGGTCGGACCGGGTTCCTAGGGATAAAGAGGGCAGCGCCGGGCCAGGCTGGGGCCCCTCTGGACCCAGCTTCTTCACAACTCCGCGCCTCTTTCCACAACCCAGCACCCCGCGCCGTCCACACCACGTTTACTTTGACTCGTCTCTGCATGTGGCTCTGCCATTCCCGCTGCGCCAGGAGCGACTCGTCTGCCTCCTCGTCAAACACGTCCCCTTTGTCTCCAGGGCCCCGGACCAAGGACGCTGCTTGAACCCACGACATCACCGAGGCAATTACAGGGTCGCAGCCCAACGGAAGCGCCAACAACTCCTTCCGGTCCGAAGGCGGGGCGAAGACGGCTAGTGGAGGCTCGGGAGGGGCTGCGCGTGCGCATGGGCGTGCTGTGCGCCGTGTCCGCCGCCAGAGACTTTCGCGTGTGGTGATTTTGGGCTCCCTCGGTTGGCGAAGTGTTGACGTGCGCCTGTTAGTTGTGAGCGAGGCAGATTTCCTCGCGTGGCCGGCGCGACCTTCGCCTTTGCAGAAGGCAGTCGGGACCCTCAGTGAAGCACCTTCCGTTTACACGGTGGTCCTATCATGGTCTAGGTTTTACACTTGCGCGCGTTGGTAAACTATTAAAGGTGGTAAAGTTGATGGGCAATTACCGCCCAAAGACTTTGTCTGTTTTGGAATCTCTGCGTTTAAAGGATTTGACAAACTGACATTTTAAACTGTTAGGATTGTGGAGTAAAGGATAATAGAATCGAAAAGTGAGATACTGCAGCCAATATGAGATTAGTAAGAAATACAGAGTACATTTGTAAAGCCAATATATTTATTCATTGATCCGCAGTATCCTTCTGCCTCCCATTCCTGTTCATATGCCCTAAACTGTTGGTTTGGTAAGGGTGGGGACTTGTGTCAGCACCAGGACAGTTCTGACACATAGTAGATGCTGAACTCGATCTTGGTGAATGAATGAACACCTGTAGTATTTCTGTTTTGCCCTTTGCCTAGGTAAAATGAGTCATGTGATAATTAACAATTTATTGAACACCTACCTTGTGTCAGGCACCATTCTAGGCTTTGGGATACATCGGTGAACAGATGGAAGCTCCCAACCCTTGTGGACTTTATAGTCATGTAAAATTGACAGGATAAACAATAAGCTATATATAAGTAACATAAGTTTTGTTAGATCATAAATAAATGCTATGAAAAAAAATTTTAAAATAAGCACAGTAAGAACCATGAGTGTGTGGAAGTGGGTGGTTGGTTCATGTTACAATTTTAAATCTCCAGAGAGAATTTGGCATCCCACAAATAAAAAATATATAAACTATATATATGTATATTTTATTACTGTAAATGTATTAAGACATATGTATATATCTTTATTAGGAACAAAATGGTAGTAAGCAATAAAGATAACAATGAATAAAATAGAAAACCTCAAAACTTGAATAAGTAAGCCCAATTCTTTTTTGTATTATTTGAAAACACCAATAAGATAGATAATTCTGTCATGATCCTGATTTTTAAAGAGAACAAAATTATACAAGAATGAGAAATGAGATAACCACTGATGCAGAAGGAGATTAAAATACTAATTACCAACTAAAACTCAACTAATTACCAACTAAAACTCAAAAGCAACACATTTGAAAACCTGGGAGATATGAATGACTTTCTAATAAAATTGACCCAAGAAGTAGAAAACATGAAGAGGCTAATTACCATAGAAAAATTGGACATTAAATATCTACTATTAAAAATGTCACGGAGACTTGGGAGTTTCACATTAAGTCCTTTGCAATCTTTAAGGAATGATGGATTCTTAAACTATTTTTACCATTTTAGGGGAGAGAAAAAGAGGAAACTCCTTGAATCATTTCATGAAGCCAGCCTTACTGTAACTTCATAAAGATAGTATCAGAAAAACCCCAAAGTTCAAGTTAGCTTGTGAATATGTATCCAAAAGAGAATCTAGGTTGGTGCAAAAGTAATTGGGGTTTACTTTTGCACCAACCTAGTAGTACTTTATCAAAAGAATAATTCAAGAGGTTTTGTACCAGGAAAGCAAACTTCTGCAATATTAGGACATCAATAATATTTCATTGAATTTACTATTTTTTTGTTTTTAAACAGGGTCCTGCTCTGTCACCCAGGCTGGAGTGCAGTGGTAAGATCACAATTCACTGCATCCTGGATCTCCTGGGCTTAAGCTATTGTCCTGCCTCCACCTCTTGAGTAGCTAGGACTACAGGCATGTACCACCGCACTTGGCTAAGTTTTTGGTTTTTTTGTAGCGACAGGCATCTCACTATGTTGCCTAGGCTGGTCTCCAACTCCTGAGCTCAAGCTGTCCTCCCGTCTCAGCCTCCTAAAGTGCTGGGATTACAGGCATGAGCCACTGTGCCTAGCCTGCATCAACAATATAAAGGGGAAAAAACATGTTTTATTAATAAATGCTAAAAAGTCATTTGAAAAAATTTAAAAATCATTTCTAACAAAATAAAGTATAAATAGAAACTACAAATTGATAAAGATTTTACAAAAATTCCTGTGAGTAGTATTTTAAACACTTAGATGTTCAGATGTTTCCTTTAACGTATAGAAAGGAGAGGGCATCTGGTAATCACTATTATTACTATTCTTTTAGGGACTAGCACAATAGCACATGCAATAAGAGAAGTAAACAAAATAACCTATATAAATGTTGGATAATAAAAAATGAAGATACTCGTTTTTAAAAAATGAGACAGGATCTTGTTCTGCCACCCAAGCTGGAATGCAGTGGTGCAATCATAGCTCACTGCAACCTCAAACACCTGGGTTCAAGCAGTCCTCCTGCCTCAGTTTCCCAAGTAGTTGGGACTACAGGCACGCACCACAATGCTGAGCTAATTTTAAAATTATTTTTAGTAGAGACGGAGGTCTCGCTTTGTTGCCCAGGCTGGTTTCGAACTCCTGGCCTTAAGTGATACTTCTGCCTCAGCCGTTCAAAGTGCTGTGATTATAGGCGTGAACCACCATGCCCAGCCTAAGATATACCTTTTGGTCATTATGTGATTATATGCCTAGAAACCCCAAAAAACTTCGCTTAAAAATAACAGAATAAAAGAATTTGATAAAGTCTCTGCATATAAGAAAAATAAACATACCAGTAGCCTCTTCTAGTAATAATCATCTAGAAATGTAAATGAGATAAATATTCCACTTGTAATACCAACAAATATTATTAAATATAGTAATGACATATTTGTTTAGTTTTTAGTTTTTATTTAGTACTATATTTATAAATGTCAGGAACACATTTTTAAAATCATGCAGCAACATGCATAAATTTTGAATGTAAACGCCACCTATGAAGATATAGAAAATTTCTGTCACCCCAGAGAATTTCCTTGTGCTCGTTTGTGGTCAGTCCCTCATCCCTGGCAACACTTGGTCCAATTTTTATCACTAGATTAGTTTTGCCAGTTTAGAATTTCATAGAGATGAAATTGCATATGTCCTTTAATGTATTTGGCTTCTTTGACTCAACATGTTTTTGAGACTCATTTATTTGGTTGCATGTACCAGTAGATTGATCTATTTTATTGCTAAGTACTATTTTCATTATAGGGATATACCATGATCTGTCCATCTAGTCATTTTTGGACATTTGGATTGTTTCCAGTTTTTGGCTATTATGAATAAAGCTGCTGTGGACATTTTTGTACATGCCATTTGTGTACACATTTTCATTTCTCTTGGGTAAATATCTATAAGTGGAACTGCTGGTCATATAGTAAGTATACATTTAACATTATAAGTGATATGGGCCGGGCACGGTGGCTCACACCTGTAATCCCAGCACTTTGGGAGGCTGAGGTGGGCAGATCATGAGATCAGGAGTTTGAGACCAGCCTGACCAACATGGTGAAACCCTGTCTCCACTAAAAATACAAAAATTAGCTGGGCATGGTGGCACACACCTGTAATCCCAACTACTCAGGAGGCTGAGGCAGGAGAATCGCTTGAACCTGGGAGGCGGAGGTTGTAGTGAGCTGAGATTGCACCACTGCACTCCAGCCTGGGCAACAGAGTGAGACTCTGTCTCAAAGAAAAAAAAAAGTGGTATGGTTTGGCTGTGTCCCCGCCGAAATCTCGTCTTGAATTGTAGTTCATAATCCCCACGTATCATGGGAGGGACCTGGTGGGAGGTAATTGAACCATAGGGGCGGTTACCCTCATGCTGCTGTTCTTGTAATAGTGAGTGAGTTCCCATGAGATCTGATGGTTTTATAAGGGGCTTTCCCCACTCTTGCTTGGCACTTCTCCTTCCTGCCATCATGTGAAGAGGGATGTGTTTGCTTCCGCTTCCACCATGATTTTAAGTTTCCTGAGGCCTCCCCAGCCCTGTGGAACTGTGAGTCAATTAAACTTTTTTTCCTTTATAAATTAGCCAGTCTGGAGCGGTCCTCTGTAGCAGTGTGAGAATGGACTAATACAATAAGAAACTGTTAAGCTGTGTTTCCAAAGTGATTATACCACTTTACACTTCCACTATCAATGTATGAGTGTCAGTTGATCTACGTCCTCTACCTCACTTGGAATTGACAGTATTTTTAACTTTAACTGTTCTAATGGGTGTGTAGTAGTATCTATTACTGTGGTTTTAATTTGCATTTTCTAGATGACTTATGATATTGAACACATTTTCATGTGCTTATCTGTTATTTGTATATGTTTTTCTTTTGGAGATGGAGTCTTGCTCTGTTTCCCAGTCTGGAGTGCAGTGGAGTAATCTCGGCTCACTGCAACCCCTGCTTTTCAGGTTCAAGCAATTCTCCAGCCTCAGTCTCCCGAGTGAGTGGGATTACAGGCACCTGCCACCACGCCCGGCTAATTTTTGTATTTTTAGTAGAGATGAAGTTTCACCGTATTGGCCAGGCTTGTCTCGAACTCCTGACTTCAGGTGATCCATCCGCCTCGGCCTCTTAAAGTGCTGGGATTACAGTTGTGAACTACCGCGCCTGGCCAGTTTATATATTTTTTAAATGAAATATTTGTCTATAAAAAATTAGGTTGTTTTCTTACTGTGTTTAAAGGTTCTTTGTATATTCTGGACATAAGTCTTTTGTTGGATACGTGTTTTATGACTATGTTCTTTGCATTTATTATATCCAGCAGGAGACAGATATGGAGATAGAGTCAGGATTGCATGAGGTCTATAGGTGGGTGGGGAGTATAATGTCTGTGAAAGATAAAAAGAGGAGGAAACATCATTAGGCAGGGAAAGCCTCCAGAAAGTGATGTTGCTCTGATTCCCGTAATAGGGAAGGGAGGA